ATTTAGTGGAAGCGCATAAATCAAATGTAATTTTGATCGGATTTCGATTAAAGCTTAACAATTAATGTTTAACGATTAACATTTGTAATTAACGATTGATGATCAACAATTAATCTGTACAATCGCAATCACTAATCACGACTAGATCAATCGTGATTTTAAACAATAATTAGACGATAATTAATCATTTGAATTACAAATTTGAATCGATTAATACTCCAATTCTATGACAATCACCTATTATAAGATATAGTGCTGATCAAAATGTCAGAGACTGGATCATATGTATATATATATATATACACGTATATATGCATACATATACGTATGTATATGGATTCATATCACTGCATTGGCAGTAGAGAGAGAGAAAGAGAGGAGGAGAATAGAGGGGCAAGAATAGAACTGGGTTTGGCAAGCGTGGTGATTTTACACCTACCTTTTAACCGGACCGTGGCTGATTGTATTGTATCCATTTCACGATACATATCATGCTTTGCCTAGGTGGTTTCCCTAAGAAACGTGTATTTCTGTTTTACATACTATTACAACATTTTATTGTCGCTGTGACAGAGTCATTTAACAGCATTTCGTACGATCGAAGCTAGTTTTCAATAAAGTGTAGATATACTAGAAATATGAGATTACGGAAAGTTGTGATATGTATGTCGTAAAATTGTAACGTGCTACGACTTAATAAATCTGTCAGCTTCTGAAAAATTACACTTTAACTTCCGATCAATCTGAAAACTCTAAGAATGACTTAAACGGATCACGATCATTATTAAAGAGCTTCAATGCGCGATGGTGGATATTATATTATGTTGGATATGTTGGCTGTTTTGGGTGGGACTACCGACACTCACAGCTTATCCTATATCATCTTCGATACAAACAGGTATGCTCATGACCTGATCTAACGTGCATTTTAATGACACTTAACGAATTGGAGGTTACTTTGTTTCCAACAGATCTTTCATATATCCATATTACATCAGGATGGGAACGATATTGGATACAGTGTATGATCGCTGTTTTAAGTATAACTGCTGCAGCATTTACTTTAGTTGGATGTCTTTGTTGTCGAAGACCTAGAAGACCGAAAGGATTCCAGGTAATGTATTGTCATTCTCAATAATGTATGTGACAGATAAAAGTCGTACGATTGATTACTGTCTCAAGAATGATACATACGTTTCTAATTGTAGGATACAGCAGAAAAGTACAAGCAGGTAATATTGATGATACAAACAATGTGAATTTTGGAGCATTATTACTAATTAAATAGATTTTGGAGAACTTTGCCGTTGGCTCTTTTTATTTGAATATTTGAAAGAAAATTAAAATAAAATAAATGATCGAAGTGATCTTGAAGTATTCTTATGGAAAGAGTCATGTGATAATAGTCATTTAATATCTCAAAATTTATTATGTACTTTTAAATGTGCAAAAAGTCAGCTTTCTTAACATTGAAACGACATACCAAATGTGTAATAAATTTTGTTTTATTTTCTTTATTTCAAGTATTTGCACGATTAGTAATAAAGTATATATAGAAATATGGATTGATTCTAAAGTTGTGGGCAGAATGACAGCGGCTGATTAAGCGTACTGAAACAAGCAGAAAAATTAATATAAATATATACCTATTATGATCTGACTTTCAAATTATAGCTTATTGTGTATTTTAATTCTGTTTATTATATCTCCATCTCTAGCTTCGACATGACTGTGCATAACATTTGAGCCATGCAGATAAACGAACTTTAAAATTGCATTGTTTCTATGCAAAAGATTGTTGTAACACAAAGTAAACTGTAATTGAAAATCAAGACCATATCAGTTATATGTTTACATAAACTTTTTTTCTTATTTTAGTGTGTCAGGTCAGATCGTGCTGCATTTCCCACATGCTCTGAATTACTCTATATATATAATGCTATAGATGTTGCAATCAAAACTATGTCTGAATATATGCATATGTTATATTATTTAGTATTTAATGCATCTTGATTGTTTACCGTTAGAATGCTTGTTTTTGTTTACTTTTGGTAAAATAATCTAGTAAAAATGTTAAATATTTTATATTTTAGGAATTCAAAGACGGAAACAACATTGGACCGGAGTCAGCACTTGAGCACACTATCGAAGGATTAGAATTAGATGTTCCTCGTATGTTAACTATTGCAGATAGAGTTCAGTTTGAGCCTCTACCTGTAGATCATATTATATCCGGATCTAAAAATTCCTCGAAACTTAAACCATTACCACTATCAACATCATTTTTTGAAGAACGTGATTCTGATCCTAATACTTTACCAGAACACTGTCGCGATTGGTTTGATGCACAGGAGTTATCTGTGCCTAGAGAAAAGTTAAAATATTTGAGAGAATTAGGTCATGGTTGGTTCGGAAAAGTTGTAGAAGGTCGTGCAGACTTGGAAGAATGTAAAAGGATATCAAAGAATGGAGGTGTAGTTGTAAGAATTCTCACAGAAGAAGCTACCACAAAAGAGAAGGCTTGGTTTCTTGGTGAAGCAACGCCATATTTGAAGCTACAACATCAAAATATTTTGACTTTGTTGGGTCTTTGTCTAGACACCGATCCATACTTATTAATATTTGAATCTTGTCCAGTAGGTGATCTTAAACGGTTTCTATTATCAAATTATGATTTAAAATCTCAAAATGCACTTATTAAAGAAAATATTCCAATTCGAATGGCACTAGATATCGCAGCTGGTTTGAAACATATGCATGATTATGGGTTTGTGCATACAGATTTATCTGCAAGAAATTGTTTAGTAGCATCAGATTTATCAGCAAAATTAGGAGATTATGGGACTGGTGTAGAAAAATATCCTGAAGATTATTATGTAGTAGGAGATCGTGCATTACCTATAAGATGGTCAGCACCAGAAAGCATCGAATGTACAGATACTACTATTGAAACAAGAGAGATTACACCTCAAGCAAATATGTGGAGTTACGGTATTTTTCTTTGGGAAATTGCTACTTGGGGAAGCAAACCATACAACGATAAGAGCGATGAGCAAGTTATTCAAATGCTGTTATCTCTAAGAACTGATTCTTTGCCAAATGGTACACAAGTATTACAGACCTACTTGGAAGGGTGTGCATCAAATATACTTCAAGCAATTCAATTATGTTTGGATTCAAAACCGCAAAAGAGATCAACATTGGATGAAGTGAAGCAAATCCTTTTGAATGAATATACAGACTATTTAGACTTTGATCAAAGATGGGAAAGTTTACGAGTGAATAAAATTAAACACATTCGCAGTGCTAGCTTACAAGATCTTAGAGGTAGCATTGATTCAGACTACTGGACTACAATCGTTGATGACACACCACGGCAATCTTCATTTCGTCTTGGACCATGCGAGCCTGTAAAGAATGTACCAAATGTTAAAAATATAGTTGTCCATCATGAGTCTAGCTCTGAAACTGAAGAAGAAAGTTGGAAAAGACAAATTGAACAAGGAGTTTATACTGAAAAGGTGAAAGAAAAATCTAAATCTGTTACTGATCTAATGGTGCTTGTTCATATTGATCTTGATTCTGATGCAGAAGTGTCAATGGGAACTCAAGTACCAGATAAATATGTTAAGAAAAAATTACCAGCTAGTGGCAGTGATAGTGACATTAGACATAGTGTTCATACGGATGAATTTGATGAAGCATTAAGAAAGTTACGAGATTCTTTGCCAAATAATACTTCTCATAAGATCAAAATGTTAGATACTTCAGAAAGGCCTAAACTACTGACGTTAACAATGGATCAGGGTCAAACGCCAATCTTAAGGTTATCATTAGATGATGATGAATCTGTCACAGAAAACAGTGCTACACCTACTGCAAATGCGAATGTGGAAACTCGTAGTGATAAACACGTATTGAGACTTCTGTCAAAAGGAAATCCAGATTTACCCCTTCTTCGTTTTGTACCTGATGTCGCGTCTTCTTGTGAAACGTTACAGGAAAACATTGAATCTCAATATAACGATGTATCTAAACATGAAAACAATGATAATAGTTACTTCTCTAATAATTTTTCTGTTAATTATGAAGAACTTGAAAATCAAATAGTCGATGTTGAACTGTGGAATCATGCATTAGATTCTGTTTTAAAGAAGAAAGTTCCTGGTTTTTTGTATGAAGGTGAATTCAATCAATATACAGAACCTTCTACTAAACAAGTAAGTAATGATACACCAGAATTGATCGTAACTGCTGTATCTACAGAAAATACGCCACAATGTCAAACAAAATATTCTACATATAACACGAGTGATGAATTTTCTAATGTTGATGATATTGACATGGAACGACAATGTATACCTAATGATGAAGAAGAGGAAAGAAAGCAATTATCTACTCCGGATGATGAACAAAGTTCTGATTCCGGTTTCAGGGATAAAGAGTCTTGCGAAGAAGAAGAAAATGTTTGTTCATCCTCGGTTCCTGCATCTTCTGTTAATGATTCTGCTATGAACACATCAACATGTACAGAAGAACAACAGTTACAGATTTTATTTGAATTAGACGCAATTCTCGATGCTGAATATTATGCAACATTACAAGGTCCTGAAAAAGTAACAGAAAGCTTATCCCTTGTTAAGTGTACAGGTGACAGAATGTTTCAAGTAAATGATGAGGAATCCGATTCTTTGAAAACTGTAGATACTATAGTCGAAATAGAAGTTGGCGGTGCTGTAAACGTTAATTCGACAGAAAATAATACTGTAATATCAGTGTCAGAAGGTGAGAAAGAAGTAGAAGCAGATATTGTATGTAAACGTGAAGAACATGTAGAAGTAAGAAATTCAAATAATATTAGCGTTACTTCACCATTAAAAGATGCAATCCAGAATCACAGAGTTGCGGACTTACAAAATCACTCTGTATCGATGGATATGGAATGTATGAATACACATAGGACATTGGAAGAATATCTACCGAATGTAAACAAAATTGAGAACGAAACTGAAAAATCTGAAAGTGCAAACGAAATCGAAAAGTTTGAAATTGAAAACGAAAGTAAAAATGAAAATAGTACTGAAACTAAAAGTGAAAATAGAAATAAAACTGAGAACGAAATTGAAAATAGAAGTGAAGCTGAAAACGAAATTGAAAATAAAAGTGAAACTGAGAATGAAAGTGAAAATAGAAATGAAGATGAAAACAAATACCAAAATCAAAATGCAAATACAAATGATGAAGAGGAAGATAGTTCTACAATGAGTTTACGCAGTGATAATTCTTATGTATCATTTGGTATGGAAGAAGAGTTTGTGACAGCAATTCGAAATGAACTAAGAGAGAAATTGCCGTGTGCTCAAATGTCTGTTGTAGAACCTTTAGAGATGCATGATGATGACGATAATCCTTCTCTATCTACTGACATTGAAAATAAACAATGGGATGATGATGATGAAGATAATGAAGAGATGTCGAATCAGGGTAGCGGAGGAGTGGGTATTTCGATAAGGTATCTCTTAATACTTATAATTATTTAATTAAAATATTTGTTATCACAAATTAACTTAATCGTTTGTTTATACATCCACATTAAGGACTTATTTATCATATACAGGTATAACATATATGGTACTCCACTAAGTCCGATCCAAGAAGAACGAGAAAGTACTCTTACATCAGAGTCCCTAATGTCAAATTCTAGAGATACGTCAATCACTTCAAGAGAATCAGCTGTATCGGATGATGTGTTGTTAGTTGATACTCGGACAAACAAAATGGTTTTATTGGAAGGTTTAGGAGAGAGATTGCACGACGATGAACGAGATACTACTAATGGAGACCTATCCGAAGAAGAAAATTTAGACTATAACTGTTCGGTAGTACGTTCTCGCGATGAAAAGTCACATATTATGATTGGAAGTGGAGTGGCCCCTTTGCCCAGTCCTGAAGAAGAATCTAAATGGCAACAATTACCTCCACCTTTCCCACTTCCATTGCCTTTACCGGTAGAGGATGGATTAATGTCAACAAGTTTTGGAACTGAACATGGGTGGGGCAGTCAAGATGAAGATGAAGAAGAAGAAGAGGAGGAGGAGGATGAAGAAGATGAGGATGAAGATAACAGTTCTAGTTCTGGAGAATTTGTTTGGAAGGTAAATTGATGTTTATGTATTAAACGTAATGCGATCTTCAAAACAGTGATAATTTTACGTCTTTTAGAGGTACAATGAACCGCATGTTGAACAAGTTCAAACTCGAAGCATGTTGGCAAGTAATAGCGAAGGGTCAGCTGTTGATATCGAAGATGAGATGGATGCAGAAGAAGAGGAAGAAGATGAAGAAGAAGAGGAAGAGGAAGAGGAAGATGAGGAGGAAGAAGAATTTACACCTTCAGCTTGGAACGCAACATTAGCTCCGCATCGTTCCGCATTAAGATCTCCAGACAAAACATTAAAATCTGGCGTAAGCTTTATGACAGCTATTATTGTCACTGATTTTTCTTAATCTAGCATAAACATTTATAAATTTTTGTCTTCAATTTCGCGGCTAGGACGATTCGGTAGGTGTATCATTCATTTGTACATAGAGTAACGTATATAATTTTAATCTTCTTCTGATGAATGTTTCTATTCCAGATTTAATTTGAGGTATTTAGCAAATGTACTTTTCACATATTAAATATATGTTAAATATAGATATAGCTTAACCATTTTTATCGGATCGACAATGTGCGATTTGTCCAGGATCAAAAGAAGAGTGTTTGGTTCAAGAAGCAACGCTATCACTGCGTATACGAATATCCGAAGGAAACATTAGCTACCGATACTCAAGGAGAAACATCTACCACCTGGGAGCCTACTTCATATGCTGGTAGTGTGTCTAATAAACACATTAGCTTAGAATATTGTAGTAGCTCAGCATTATCCTTAAGTAATTTTTATGTACAGATATAAATTCCTAAGAACATAATTTCATTTTGGTACAAGTGTATCTGTTTCCTTTTCAGATTGGGAGGAAATGCTAGATGAGCCACGATTAGATCTGTATCCACTGGATTATGATGATGGTAACCATACAGGTATGTGTTACTATTTGCACTCTTTTGAATATAGTAAAATCTATGTAAAAGTCATTCTTTCTCTTTTTTCTCTATCTCTACTAATATATTTAACTTACTTAACTATTAGTATAGTTTCTTTGCATATGAAGGTAGTATAATCTGTAATCGCAATGAAAATCAGTTTTATATTTAATTTTAATTTTAAATATCATTCATATAATATAAAATTGATTTTCTTTTAGGAAACGAGGAATTTTTTGTGAGCAGTTCAAATCGTCCATTTCAATTTCAAACTAGTGACAGTAAATATGTAAGTCAATTCTTTCCTGGTGCTTCTACATCGGCTAATGAAGAATCAGACGAAGTAGACAGCGGCCATCAAGTAGTACAGCAGAATAGAATGGAATTGATGAGTGATTACGGGCACAGTCAGCAACATCAGTTAGGAGAACTCAGACACACGAGGGATCGTTTGAAATTAAATTTGTCTACGAACGGCACACCGTCATTTCTCGTTAAACAGTTAAAAGAGGATGATATTGAACAATTGGAAGAGAAGGATAAGGTCGTGGAAACAGCGGAAAATGTAGACTTTACTGAAAATCAATGCATCCTATCGAATTCCTCGAACCATGATCTTTTACCAATGGTGCCTCTCCGTGATATTCGACAAGAGAGAAGTCTTGATCCAGCTTCTTCAAAAAGTGTCCAATGTGATAGCCAGAGAAATGTTGAACCCACCGATAAGTGCAGTGTTTTAATCGACGACTAACGTATCGCAAAGCCAATTGTAAATTTTTAAAGGAAATACTTTATCCGAAGTCCGTCCGAAATAATTTCTTTGCAAAATTACAATGATATCTCAAACCAACGAGATCATTGTATGTAAATTGATTCTTGAATATTATACATAAGGCTCTATGTGTACATAAAAAATGTAGCAACTTTTTATTTTACGGCTAAAATTTCATCGATTGTCCATAGTATTTCGTAGTTAAGTATGAAAAATTTTTTTGTTGTATAGAAGTGTATCAATATATAAATAGACTTTAAGATTAACATAATTTTTTATACAATTAGCTTCACAGCGGTAATGCAAATATGAAATAGCTACTTGAATAGTTGACAATCGATTTGTAAAGGCTACATCAAAACTATCGAAAGGTTTCGTTTCGCGTG